TGAAGAATTTGTTCATGTCGGGGGAGGGGTTGGGAGAAAATAAATCCTCTCTGGATTTGGTACTATCAGAGAGCAAAATTATCCACAATTTAAAGATCATAATTGGATTTGTTTGTGATTCCAGAATGGAACACCACTTCATTCTAACACTGAATAGGTTTTCCAAAGGGCTGAGTAGAAGAGTTGTCTATGTAGCCAGGAAAGGATGAAGGAAGCCCAGATGGGTCATTTCAAAATGAGTATCCTTGTGAGATGGGGACAGAAAGACAGTGCAACAGGAAAATAACTGAGCAATTAACATCATGCTACCTTTTTTGGAAAGCATCAATGCAAGGGAATGTGGATAGAAACTGGCCCATCTCCTGATACCTTGGAAAGCCAGATAAGCAGCTTGGGTTCAGTTTGGTGGTGTGGAATGTTGGTATGAGCTGTTTGGGTGGGAGCTCCACCTCAACCCTTGGCACCCTGGCATCCCTATACCCAAAGAGTCTGGAATGTTTGGATGGGAGCTCCACCCTGGCACCCTGGCATCCCTATACCCAAAGAGTCTGGAATGTTTGGACGAGAGCTCCATCTCACACAGCTCCTCCCCAAACCCACCTATTCAAAGCCCGCTAAACACAGCTCCTCCCCCAGAGAGGCTCAGGATGACTCCCACAGGGGATATACAAGCAGCATCCCCGAAAACAGATTCGTGGTTCTTCTGGTCTCCATCTCGTCCCCTTCTCCTCACTGCGGGGCGGGGAATCGCCCAGGAGCGCTTTACCTATTAAGCCTGGGCTTTCCAATTTGGTCTGATTCGGTTTGTTGAGACGGCAGAGAGGCCTTCAGGGGCCTTATCATTGTGAGTTTCAGTCTGTTCTGTTGGGGCACGGAGCAGAAGCCTGGTCCACAACGGTAGCTCTCCATTGTTTTCTTTTTACCTTAACAGAACTGCGAGCATCGAGCATCGCAGCTCCTCTGTGTCGTGTATGTGACCAGGCTATCCAGCCACCCTCTCCACACTGGGGCCACAAAGCTCAAAACATGAGCAGCATTTTGTGCTTTGAAGTCGCTTCCGGGTCCATCTTCTACTCCCTGTGCTAAGTTCCTCTTTGCTTTATTTCTTATTATTTCGAACTTATTTTATCTCACTCAATTGTTTATCAGTAAGCTTCCTCCAATCCTTTGTGGATCAAGGCAGCATAAAAATAAACCGATATATAAATAGCATTATTGTTCCCTGAGACTGACTTTCCCTCGTTTCTCTGATAGTTCGTATTGATGGCAAACTTTCTAGTAAACGGGGCTTTGTGCTTAAGTTCTGACCACCTACCCGCTCTGGGCGGTAAGTGCCTTACATGAGTTACTTCCTTAAGTTATCCTGAGAATTCTAACAATATGGCAGACACTAGCCTCCTATTTTCAGATAGGGAAACTAAGGCTGAGCTTTAAATGACTTGCCTAAGACCACCCAGCCAATAAGAGGCAGGGCTGGGATTTGATCCTGGGGGTGGGGGGGGCGGGGGTCACTCCATAGCCATTGTAGAAGCCTTTACCCTTCATAGATGCCATTGCTTGGATTCTCTGCAGAGTCTAGAAATGGGCTGGACTCTTGAAGCTGGAGCTGCTGGCAGTCACAAGCCACCCAGTGTGGCTTCAAGGGACCGAGCACGGGCCATTTGCAAGTGCAGTATGTGGTCTTTAAAAAAAAAAAAATTATGTATGTGCCTGAGTGTACACACACACACACACACACACACACACACACATACGTATGTATGTTATGTGCATGCAGCAGCCTGTGGAGGTTAGAAAGGGCATTGGATCCTTTGGAACTGGAATTACACACAATTATGAGCCATCGTGTGGGTACTGGGAATCAAATTCCGGAACTCTGGGAGAGCAACAAGTGCTCTTTTTTTTTTTTTTTTTTTTTTTTTTTTTTTTTTTTTTTTTTTTTTTTTTTTTTTCAGAGCTGAGGACCGAACCCAGGGCCTTGTGCTTGCTAAGCAAGTGCTCTACCACTGAGTAAATCCCCAACCCCGCAACAAGTGCTCTTAACCACTAAGTCATCTCTCCAGCCCACAGCACATGTTCTTAACATCTCAGCCACCTCTCTAGCCTCTCTTCTTTTTTTTTAATGAATTAATTTTGAGGTGCTGGGGATGGAACAACCCAGGGCCTCTGGACATGGTAGACAGACATTCTACCATTGAGCTACACACTCTCACCTCTATCCCTTCCCATGACCCCTCATCCCACTCCCTCTCAAATCCATTCCCTCTTTTAAAATATTATTGTTTTATATATATAGACAGCCCAGGCTGGCATTGAACTTACTATGTAGCCCAGGTTGGCCTGAATCTCACGATCCTCCTGCCTCGGGCCCATAGTCGCTGGAAGTGCAGGTATGTGCACCGCCCCAGCTTGGCTCTGGCCTCCCAAGGCCTCTCAATTCTGTTGCCTTCTTCTCTATCCTCAACCCAGCTTCTCATTTCAGAGTCTGCTGGTCTCCACTAGGGCCTGAAATAGCCTATGAGCTGATCTCCCTGTATGCAGGTCTGTTTTCACACCTGGTCTGAAGCATAGCACGCCCATATCTTTAAGTTCCATAGAGATGGCTTCCCACCATAAGATAAAGCCCAGTTTCCTTTGCCATGGATTCAGGACCATTCACAATCTGTTCTCAGTTCATCCAGATAAACTGTGCCCCCCACTCGGGCCCCCAGAACAGTATACTCACTGTCTAGACACGGGGTCTATCTTGGAGACCCTTGTGCCTGGTGAGCCACACACCTTTGATGTGCTGGATCAAAAACCCATCTCCGTCATGAAATGCTCTCGGAACCCTCTTATCCCCAACCAAAGACCAGGCATACAGTGTTGCTACTTGGACATCGGTGAATGTCCAAACAGTGATTGGCTGGCACTGGACATTTTGGAGCAAGACCTGAAATTGGGCCGCCCGAAGTACTGCTACCCCATCCCCAAATCAAGGTATCACTAATCTATCCCTTTGGAAAAATCTGAAGCAAGTACCCTTCTGGGCCGCTACACCTGTCCTTCCAGAGAGCTTTTCTGGTTTATTTCACTTTTAGGTTTTTGTGGTTGTTGGAGCATGGAGACTTTTGGGGGAGGGGGAGATGCCTCACGTAGCCCAGGCTGGCCTCGAACTCCTGATCCTCCTGCTTTCACCTCTGAAGTGCTGTGGTTACAGGAGTGAGCAACCAGGGGAGATCTCCTTCTCCAGAGCTTTCAATGAATGCATCCATCACTTTCTCAGCCAGCTGGCTGTGTGCAAGAACACAGTGTGCAAACGTGTGGCTGGCCTGCCACACTCAAGCAGCTCTCTGACTGTCCATGGTTCCTTCTACCTGAAGAACCCATCAATGCCCCTCTGCACAGGCCAACTCCCATACCAGCCCTAAGGTCACTTCCTCTGAAAGCCCGCCCCCTGCTCCTCTTGGCAGATTTAACCATTTCCTCTTCTATCTGCTGCTGGAGTGTGCTCTCCTCAAGGACAGGAACCAGGTCTCAGTTACCTCAGAGTCTCAACACTAGGCTCCTGGGTGCCCTTCCCCCTCGAGGGGAGTGTGTAACACACTGCAGTCAACCCCCTCATCTCTGCTTTCACTTCTTGACATTTCAGCTACATGTCATCAATTATAGTCTGATCATATTAAACAGAAAGTTCTAGAAGCAATTCCTATGTTATCATCACCATCATCATTTTGTTTTTCAAGACAGAGTTTCTCTATGTAGTTTTGGTGTCTGTCCTGGATCTCGCTCTTAGACCAGGCTGGCCTCGAACTCACAAAGATCTGCCTGGCTCTGCTTCCTGAGTGCTGGGATTAAAGGTGAGCGCCACCACCGCCCAGCCCTATTATTTGTTTTTTTGAGACAGGGTTTCTCTATATCTCCCTGGCTGTCCTGGAACTTGCTCTGTAGACCAGGATGGTCTCAAACTCAGAGATCACCTACCTGTCTCTGCCTCCCTAGTGCTGGGATTGAAGGCATATCCCACCACTGCCCGGCGTTCCTAGGTTTTAAATAGTTTCATAACATATTGTTATAATTGCTGCTTAATTATTAGTGTTAGCAATCTCTTAGTATAAATTAAAAGTTATCACAGGTACGTATTTCTAGGACAGTCGTGTGTGTGTGTGTGTGTGTGTGTTTCAGCAGTGTTCTTGGTCTCAAGCATCCACTGGGGTCTTGGAATGCACTGCCTTGGGTAAGGACACTTAGAGGAGAACACTAGCTATCAGTCAATCATTTAGACCGAAAGCAGCATTCCATTGTTGCTACTCAGCTCAGCACCTTCACACAGCCTCCCTCACCCTTGCCTCCCGATGGGGCCACAAATCCTGTCTGTGCTCAGACAGACACTCAGCCTGCCTCTCCAGGCCCCCCACTCCCATCCTGACCAAGGCTTGTCCATGCCGAGATCACAGTGGGCTCCCAAGCGCCACTTTGTCTGTGGCCCCGATGCGTCCCTCTTCCCTACTCAGGTGTCTCTGTCTCCTCTTCACCTGTCAAAACACTATGCATGCTTCAAGGCCCGGTCCAAATGTCATTTTTCTCCCTAAAGTGTCCCATCAGAAGAGATGGCCTGGCTTCTTGCTGCTGATGCCCAAAGTCCTTAGTCACTCCCCAGGTTGCCCAGGGTCTTGGGTTCTGTTAACAGCAACATCCTGAGTGTGGGTGTTTGCAGGCTGTAGCATAGGACAGTGCATACAGTCAGTGCTCAATAAATAACAGAGTGACTGGTTTAGATCGTGTACACTACACCTGCAGATGAAGCAGCAGCAAGGCCAGTCCCCAGGAACCGGCAGAGAACTGCCTTCCCTTTTCCTCAATGGGACCGATTTTGCCTCAAAAACAGAGGACAGGGATTACCCCTGCTCTCCTCCCCCAGCCACAGTCACAAAGGCAGAGCGGTGTGACGGGCAGCTTCTTTGGCTCCGCCCTCTCTCCTTTCCCCCAAACACTGAACAGATTCCCAGCTCCCGCAGGACAGGAGTCACCTCAGACAGCGCACACGCGGGACACATGGTCCCCAGCCCGGGGCACCTCTGTGCCAACATGGCCCAGACAGGTGTCTCCCTCCGCATCCCTGGGTACCTCACCTCTGCCCCGCAAGCCACCCTGCTCCTCAGCCTGGTCCTGGCCTCCTTCCACTCAGCCTGCAGTACAGGTAATAGGTCTGAGCTTTAGTCTTGGCCACCTTGGGAAGGGGAGGGCAGGGCTGAGGGGGAGGGGAGGATTCCTTGGCCAGGGTTGGTCCTGCACAGGGGAAAGAGGAAATAGAAGTTTCCCTGGAGGATTAGGCAGGGCGCTGGGGTGGGAGTCAGCTGGGGGTGTCTTGGGTTTGTCTGTGACACTCAATTCCTTTGCTAGGACAGCAGCAGTCCCACCCTGCTGACCCTTGCCACAACAAAACAAAACAAAACAAAGAACAACAAAGAAATTTGCCAATTTGACAGTATCTCACTCATCACAGGACCAAAGTGGTAGAAAGGGATAGTGTGGTTCCCTGCTATTCCCTGAGGCTCCTCCAGGCTCTCTCAGGATGGGCCCTCACCTTCCCTTAGCGCGGGCAGAGGTTCCCTCTAACCCAGACTTCCTCTGCTAAGTTCAGAAGCTAGAACGCCACCCTCAGCTCCCCACCCTTCCTGAGCGTCCCCAGGACAGGCATCAGAAAACTTGGGATTCTCATCCCAGGGTCTCAAGAGGCCTGGTTTCCCAGGCTGGGCTCTGCTCTTGAGCATCCAGGGGTCTGGCATCCTCTCTCCTGCTCCTGGCTTTGACCCTGGCCCAACCTTCCTCAGCGTGGCCCTACTTCTGACACACACCTGTCATCCCCAGTATCTCCTCTCGGGACCCTCCAGAGCCACAGCCTTGACTCCTCTCTCCTCACCCCCAGGGACTGGCTGTGTGATCTTGAGCAAATTACTTCACCTCTCTGTGCCCAGATTCCTGGTGTGTGACACTGGGGTAAAGAGAACCGTGATTTATGAGGTTACTTATTCGGAAGAAATGAGTTAATAGCTTGTAAAGAATTTACCATGTTGCGGCAAGCATACAATGGACAGAAGCAGATACGGGTTCCCAACTGATCCACCACAAATGAGGGAGTTCGTTTTTTGTGACGGCTGTTTTCCTTCTGTTTACCCTGACAGTGCCATGCTGGGTCTCCCCTCTACACCAGTCCCTGGCTGGTTCTTAGAATGCCAAGGGTGATGGTCAAGTACTTGGGAATTCCCCTGGGCTATTCCATCTGAAGCCCCTGAAACTGCTGATGTGAAGTGGGTTTTGACCTCTAAAGAGGATAAAAAGGACAACTTCTCAGAGCGGTGGTGGCACACGACTTTACTCGGGAGGCAGAGACAGGCAGATCTCTGAGTTCGAGGCCAGCCTGGTCTACAGAGTGAGTTCCAAACAGCCAGGGCTACACAGAGAAACCATGTCTCAAAAACCAGTAAATAAATAAATACCAATGAATAAATATGACAATTTCATAGGATTCGACCTAATCTGGCATCTAATTAAGATTTTTTTTTCCATTCACTTACTCTGTCCCAAGAACATTCCCACCCTAGGTGGACAGATGAGATCAAGCCTAAGGAAGTGATTTGGTTTTGAAGGAAAATGCTAATGTCCAGGAATCAGTTTCCAAAACAAAGCTCAACTCTAGGCTGTGTAAATAATTTACAACAGTAGTCAGATTGTATCACGGTAATTACCGTACTTTTGGGAGGCCAGAGGGGCTGGGGACTGGGTGGCAGCAGTTTTGTGGCTGTGGTTAAGCAACAGCTCTCTTCCTCCTTTACCCTGCTCTGTGTCAACAGCACCTCTGAAGGACGCGCTGAGGGTCAGGCAGCGGGGCATTGAGAGGTCTAAGCTCTCCTTCCCCTTTTCAAGGATACAGCAGTACCACTTCCCAAAAGGCTCTTCAAAAAATCAGTCTCTCAGGCCGGGCAGGGGCTCTGTTGGGGGAGTGAATGCCTAGCATGAAGCCCCAGGTTCAATCTCCTGTCCTCCTAGGACTTGGCATCAAAGGCAGGAGAATCAGTTCAAAGTCTTCCTCATCTGCACAGCAGACTCAAGGCCAGCCTGAGACACATGAGACCCTGTCTAAAAACACAAACGAACAAACAAAAAGCTGCTTTTAATCTGCCTTCCTAGATTGGTATTTGTGTGGTTAGAATGTTCTTCCATGTTAAGAGCCTCAGGTTGAACTGTGCTTCCAATAAGGTGACCACCAGCCACAGGTGACCTCTGAACACACTTCAAATTATGACTAAGGTGATGAAAAAGCTGGACTTTCAACTTAAATTCATTTTTAAAAATCAACTTAAAGAGGCAGGCCAATCTCTATGAGTTAAAGGCCAGCCTGGTCTAGAGAGCAAGTTCCAGGACAGCCAGGGCTACACAGAGAAAGCCTGTCTCAAAAAACAAACAACAACAAAAAGAAAAAAAAATTAAAAGATAAGGGGGAGGCCGGGTAGTGGCACACGCCTTTAATTCCAGCACTCGGGAGGCAGAGGCAGGCAGATCTCTGTGAGTTCGAGGCCAGCCTGGGCTACAGAGTGAGTTCCAGGACAGGCTCCAAAGCTACACAGAGAAATTCTGTCTTGCAAAAACAAAACAAAACAAAAAAGATAAGGGGGCTGGAGAGATGGCTCAGCAGTTAAAAGCACTGGCTGCTCTTCCAAAGGACCCAGGTTCAATTCCCAGCACCCACATTGCAGTTCACAACTGTCTGTAATTCTGGTTCCAGGGGATCTGACACCTTCATACAGACATAAATGCAGGCAGAACACCAATGTACATTACCAAAGGGGGGGGTACACAAAAACAACTTAAATGGCCACCGTGGCAAAGAGCTGCTGTCCTGAGTGGCACAGACCCAGCTTTTCTTCCCTGAACCGAAGGTTGGTCTCTACATAACCCACCACTGCTCCACGAACTCTTGACAGCACTTTTAGAATTTCTTCTAAAGTTTGCCACACACACCCTCCACCCGCCCCCATCCCCACCCCGCCCCCCATCCTTCCTGGCCCTTGCTCGTCAACTGGGAGACAGTTACAAGCTCTGGCTGTTCTGGAAAGCAGGAGCCTTGTTCCCATGAGATGTAGTTTCTGTTGAGAACCGTGGGCCTGGGTAACTACATCACAACCATCAGAGATAGAGGACGAGGGTCAGATTTCAGTGGTTGATTTGTTCACATGTTGGAAAGAAACTGAACCTCCTGTGAAAGAGACATTGGGGATTACTCAGTGCTTGATTTAATTTACACTGGAATGACCGTCCCATAGCTAGAGCAGTCCACACAGGAAGCAGCCGTGGGCATCCGGTCTCTTTTGTTTTTGCTCCATTTTCTTTCTTTTGAGACAGGGTCTCTCGATATAGCTCTGGCTGGCCTACTTTATGTAGACCAGGCTGGCCACACACTAAGAGATCCCTCAGTTTCTTCCTCCCGAGTGCTGGGATTACAGGGGTGTACCGCCATACTCACCTGGAAAGCTTATTTAAAAAGAAGAAGGAAGTGTCTTTGAGTAAGGATAAAGTGACAATAAAAGGGGACTGAGCAGCCACAGAGCTATCTGCACGTCCATGTTTATAGCCGCACTACTTATAGCAGCTAAGAAACAGAGTCAGCCTGGACGTCCGTCAATGGACAACGGGCATATGGTGCAGATGGATGAGTTTTACTCAGACATAAGGAATAAAATGATGTCATTTGCAGAAAAATGCATGGAAATAGAAATCCCGTTAAGTGGAATGAGGCAAACCCTGAAAGACATATTTCACATATTTTCCAGATAAATATAGGGAGAGTTATAAGTCTAATACATGAACGTGGAATTGGCTTCTCTATCTCTGTGACAAAACACTGACCAAAAGCAACGTGAAGGGGGGGGGGATTATTTCACCTGAGTTTACAGTCCACTAGCAAGGGAAGCCAAAGCAGGAACCTTGAAGCAGGAACTGAAGCAGAAGCCATAAACACTAGTTTGCTCTTCCACGGGTCATGAAGCTTGTCATTTTATACAAACCACGACCACCTGACCACTGCTAAGGAATGGCGTCTTCCACAGGGAGCTGGGCCCTCCCACACATCAGTCTATAAAACCTCCCACAGCAATCTTTGATGAAGAAAATGCCCCCACAAACATGCCTGCAGGCATCCGATTGAGGCAATTCCTCAGTTAAGGTTCCCTTGCCCAGTGACTCTACTTTATCTCAAGCTGAAGAACTGAACAGCACAGGGATTTCTTAGAAAGAGGAAAAGGACCCGTGGGATGGAAGACGGAGCACAGGAGTTGGTAATAGGAAGGCGAATATGTGCAGAGTACATGACCTTTGTGGATGAATATGCTATAATGAAACCTATTGTTTTGTATGCTAATTTAAAAAATAAAAATAAAATAAACTATTCCACTTTATAAGTTTAAAGAAAGGTGGTGCACACCTTCAATCCCAGCACTCAGGAGGCAGAGGCAGGCAGATCTCTGAGTTCAAGGCCAGCCTGGCCTACAGAGCAAGTTCCAGGACAGCCAGGGCTACACAGAGAAACCCTGTCTTGAAAAACCAAACCAAACCAAAAGGAAGAATAACCCTTCATCTGGACTTCTAATAAAAATACCACTGACTGGGGGACTTGAACAGAAAGGGGTTTGCTCACCGCTCTGGAGGTTGGATGTCTAGGTCAAAGTGTGGGCAGGTTCGGTCTCTCCCTTCTAGGGTTACAGATGGCCTCTGTCTCACTGTGACCAGGCATTGGTGTGTCTCTTCCTCCTTTTTGTTTTGTTCTTGTTTTTGAGACTGGGTTTCATTATGTAGACCAGGCTGGCCTGGAACTTATAGTGAGCCACCTGCCTCTGCTTCCTGAGGGCTGGGATTGCAGGACTCTGTAGAGCCTTATTTTTAGCCTTAATTACTTCTTTTGTCTGTCTCCAAATACAGCCCCATTGGAGGGCTAGGGCTTCAGCTGTGTGGAGAGCACGATGCATCCCTCACCAGTCTTAACGTTGCAGAAAGCTCTGCTGTCCTCACTGGCACTTCTAGAACACTGTCATTATACTCACTACTCATGCACCAAATAATCCAAGCCCTCTGCCCGGGACTCACTCTGCCTTCTGCCTGACACTGACTACTTCTTGCCTTTTCTTGCAGAAGCCAGCGGCGGCAACGCAACCCTGAGTACACACCCTGGGACCCTGGAGCAGTGTGCCAGTAAGCTTCCCCTGTCAACTGCCCTGATCCCGGAGCCAGCCCTGGAGCTAGGGAAAAACCTTGGCCCCCTCTGTCCACTAATGGGTGTCAGGTGGCCAGTGGCTGGCCTGTCCCAGCATGCTCAGAGGTTAAAAACTAGCTTGGCTTTGGTCTCAATTTAGTCACATGATCTTGCACAGGTGGATTTAATAACTCATCCCCTGGCCAGCAGCCAAAGTTGCCCCGAGTGCAAATGTTTTATCATTTGGAGGAGAGAAGCCTATTAAAAACAGCTGGTCTGCTGGGTGGTGAGAGGCAGAGGCAGGCGGATCTCTGTGAGTTTGAGGCCAGCCTGGTCTACAGAGCGAGTTCCAGGATAGCCAGGGCAGTTACACAGAGAAACTCGGTCTCAACAACAGAACAAAACAACCACTTGGTCCAATCTCACCCAAAGCAGGAACTGCTTGTGGACTCTTCCTTATTTCTGTTCATCCTCCTGAGATGTTTCCAGGGGCAGGGTGCTCAGAAAGCAAAGAGGAACTTGTATCACAAGTGTCCCATCATCAACAGAAAGTTTTGCTTCATCTTAACTGCGTCCCCTTTAACCCGTCCTTATCAAATGACCAACTGTCCTTCCACCTGTGCACTTGTAGAGGGGATGGGCAACAATACCTAAGAGGCCGAGAATACAGCTCTGGGGTCTACAGACTGGATTGTGAGCTCTGCTTCTGTCTTGTGGTCTTGCGTAAAGTGCAGCTTGGGTTTCTTTGTATGAAGCAGGGCTAGTGAATAGCTGGAGTGTGGCTCAGTGGCGGAGCGCATGCTCTTCCAAGGCCCTGGGTCCAATGCCCAGCGCCCAAACAGTGGTCATGACAGCCCATATTACCTTGCGTGCAGAAGGCAAAGACTTGGTAGACACCTAACAAGTAGCAAGTGCTTCTCAAGGTCAGGGGCTGTCTCGTGTTTTCATTCTTAACTAATTTGCCAGGGAGTGGGTGTGGCTGGTTGTTACAGTCCCGTTCTTCCTCTCCCCCATCAGACGTCGACTTCTGCCCACTAGCCTCCCTCTGTTGCCGAGCTTCGGTGGATGAATATGGCTGGATTGCGGCGGCGGTTGGCTGGAGTCTCTGGTTCCTCACCCTCATCTTGCTCTGTGTGGACAAGCTGATGAAGCTAACCCCAGAGGAGCCCAAGGACCTGGCGGCATGAGCACAGAGCCGTGGCCCCAGTGATGGCTATTCCTACCGCGTGTGGGTCACAGGGAGGGGCAGGAGCCTTCCAGAAGCTTCTGTCACTTTAAAGTCACTTGCTCCTCGAAGTCTCTGGCTCCTTTACTATGGATTTGGCGCTGCCGAGCAAACCCAGACCCTTGCGTAAACTACACATGCGCTTTGCCGTGGAGCACTCCCTCATCGCGGCACACCCACGTCAGCCACTTTTCCAAAGGGAAGAAAGCAAGCGAGGCCAGAGCTGTCTGAATGACCTCCATCTTTCAGAGTCCCTATGGTGATGCCCCTCCTCTACCCCGAGCTTTCTTCCGGGTGCACATGAGACTTAAGGCAGTCTTCTAGTGGACAGGTTTGAAAAGCAGGACATTGGCTCCACCTCCTTCAGACAAAGGGCATAGCAATCATCTTGAAGTGTGAGCCGCACCCCACTCATCCTGCTCCCCCCCCACCTCCACACTCCCATCTTTCTTCATCATACCTCCCGTGGCTGTCCAGTCCCACCTATTTGAATTATTTATTTCCGAGGGTGTGTGTGTGCTTGCCTGAGTTCATGTGCACGTGCACACAGTGCTCTTAGAGGGCACCAGATCCTCTGGAACTGGAGCTACAGATGGTTGTGAGCAGCCATGCAGGTGCCTGGACTAGAACCCAGGTCCACTGCAAGAGTAACACACGCTCTTAACTGCTGAGCCATCTCTCCAGCCTCAAGTACAGTTTTTTGGTTTTTTTTTTTTTTTTTTTTTTTTTTTTAAAGAGATGGGAGATTTAGTGGGAGTTTTTTGTTTGTTGGTTTGTTTTCGAGACAGTGCTTCTCCATGTTGTGTTGGTGCCTGTCCTGGATCTCGCTCGCTCTGTAGACCAGGCTGGTCTCGAACTCACAGAGATCCGCCTGGCTCTGCCTCCCGAGTGCTGGGATTAGAGTGTGCCACCACCGCCCGGCGAGATGGGAGATTTAGTGTTATATTTAGGATTCTGGCCAATGCGAACAGAAATACATCACTTTACTTTAGGCACCAACTTTCTAAGCAGAGGACGTAAGAATTAGATCCAGCCAAAGGTTGAACGCTCACGCTCAGAAAGCTCATTCAGCAGTTTGGGCTGCTGTGTGGGAGGTGGTAGACATGCGGACATGCGGCTCTGTCCTTTCTGTGTGAGTGGCCTCATCTTACGTACTGCAGCTGTGGCTTTGTTTTGTCCGTTTGATTTCTGTGAGTTGTTTTGGGGTGGTGTTTTTTTGTTTTGTTTTGTTTCTTGAGACAGAAATCTCCTGTAATTCAGGCTGGCCTTGAACTCAACATGTAACTGAAGACTGGTTTCCTGTGGCCCAGGCTAACCTTGAATTTCTGGTCCTCCCTAGTCTGTGCTTATAGGTATGGACCAGAACACACACACACACACACACACACACACACACACACACACACACACACACACACAACCTGTGTATGCAGTGCTAGGTACAGGAACGTTCCATGCTCCATTATGTTAAGGTCATGGTAGGGCTGGGGAGATGTGACTGAAAGGACCACTGAAATGGGACCACCAGGACTGACCCACAGGGCAGAAGCTGCCATTCAGTTTTGAAGTGTGAAAAGAAACACTAGACTTGGGTTTCCAAGCTGAACATCATGGAGGTGTTACCAAAGCAGTGAGCCGAGACCCTGCTGAGTGTATTTCAGATCTCTCTGACTTTATAAGACACCAGAATACATAGGTCAGGTAGGAAGAGATTTTTAATTCGTCTTAAATTCTTTGAAACATCTTGAAGCCAATTTCCCAGACCCGGTCTATCACTGTAGGCACTGAATCTTCTGGAACATGAGCAGAGCCTCCCAGCATCCTCCAGTGCGTTCAGAGGCAGCTTTCCCACCTAACTGGACAGAAGCCACTAGAAGGTTCAGGATCAACAGGAGCAAGTACAGCTCCTACTCCCCAACTTTCTGAGGGCACTTCCCCCGGAAAGAACCCTGGGGATGGGGACCAGGGGAGGTGTGGTCACCATGAACACAATGGGTGTGGTGGTACACATCTGCAGAAAAAATCCACACCCAGGAATGAGAAAGGGCGGCGAAAATTTGCTCTTTTTACCCAGAGGTGCTTACCGCACACCGAATGTTGTCACATATACAGACAATTTTGACCTGCATCTATGGGATTCCATGAAACCCCAAGATGATGGGAGCTGATTTTTATGAGTGTTTTGCCTGCATGCATGTCTGCACCATGTGCGTACCTGGTGCCTGCAGAGGTCAAGGGATGGTGTCGAATTCCCTGGAACTGGAGTTATAGACTCCAACTACTGGAGTTATTGGAGCACTGCTCCTCCTCCATGGGACCCTGGTTAATTCCTGGCAGCCACATGGTGACTCACAACCATCTGAAACTCCAGTTCCAGGGCATCTGACACCCTCTTCTGAGGCCATGGGCACAATACTCATGTGGTACACATACAGGCAAATTACCCCAACATATAACTGAGAAATTAAGTAAATCATACAGAGATAACAAAGACAGAAGGGTTGGGGGATGTATGAACAGTATGCAACGTGACCGCTACTCCACTCCGGTTACCATGCCATGCTGGTCCCACAAGACAACAGTATCCCTTTTTAAACTGACAACTGATATGCAAATGAATATGGACCCTTCCCACCCTAGGAATTCTTTTCAGCTACAGGGACAATATAGTGAGTCACAGAATAAACTAAGAGCAGAATTAGGGGTCATTGTGTTCTGCCCTCTCCTTACCCCACCCCACCCAAGGCTATACCTCACGAATTATGACCTGTCTCTGTTTGGTGCCTCTTAAAATGTATGTATACTCAGTGCTCACTTCCACAGCACATATACTACAACTGAACAATACCGGGGAGACTAGCGTGGCCCTGTGTGAGGATGACTCAAATTTGTGAAGTACTACATCTGCTCAGGGATTGCAGAATAGGGGGTGGGAAGACTGTGAGAGCCAGAACAGGAAGTCTGTGAGAGTATGTCTCAGGGAAGCTACATCCAGGAAGCTCCATCAACATGGCTGCCCAAATACAACCTGAACAAGGAAGACACCAATAGACTTGCTACTGTGAAAGGGGGAAATTCCAGGAGGCCTCAACCCGAGAAGAGGGCCTATAGGCAACTATGGAATGGTGAGGCCTGGAGAAATGGCCATCCCCAGGGATGAGCCTCCTAATTGGTTATCCAAAAGCTGGTCAGCCCTGAAAACATACATACAAGCAACATGCAAACTGAGCTGACTGTATATGTATTTAGGGATATATGTAACAACTTAAAAAAGAGGCCAGGAAACAGTTGTGTATAGTAAACATACCCCTACTTAAGGGCCAAATAATTTCTGATCCAATAGAAAAACAATTTGGGTGGTGGTGGTGGTGTATGTATGCCTTTAATCCTAGCACTCTGGAGTTTGAGGCAAGTGGATCTCTTGAGTTTGAGGCCAGCCTTGTCTACAGACTGAGTTCCAGTACAGCCAGGGCTACACAGAGAAATCCTGTCTTAAAAAAAAAAACATTCAAAGGTACAAAAACAAAGCAAACAAAATCTAGGGAGATACCCTAGGAACATAATAGTCGCCCCCAGTACTTTGCTATTATAGATAATGTTACATATTAGAAAAAGGAAGCCAAACATCAACCAGCAAGTTAATGTTAAAACAAACCACCTTCTGAGTTACTTCTCAAAGTCCGCAGGATTCCTTTAAGAACCACCCACCGTTACACTAAAGGAGGTCGAAAAGGTGAGGTAACAAGGGTCCGAGCTCAGGCATGGTGAAACATAGTGTGTACAATGAAGACACACTAAAAACTCACTAGATTGTGTATAAATTCTACTGACATTTCAATGTATGCATCCACTGAGTATTTGTTACATCCCAGTGATATGAGAGACACTTCAGGAGCTCTGGGAATGTGGAATGTCATGGAGTGCAAGACGAAGCCCTTGCTTCAGCCAGGGGGGCTGTAAAAAAAACACCGTGAAGGTCACACACGTGTACCTGGTGTGGTGGTACATGTGAAGGCCAGAGGTGGCCATCAGGTGTTCATTTGCTCTGTACCTTTATTCATTTTGTTGATAGGGTCAGCTTAGTATAAAGTCAGCTTGACTGTAAAATGTCCTGAACAGTCCCCATCACAGAACACTTTTAACATTAACATGGATCGGATCGCATTTACGTGTGTGTGTGTGTGTGTGTGTGTGTGTGTGTGTGTGTGCGCGCGCGCGCATGCGTGCGCGCGCGCCAGCATCCTGAAACTGGAGTTCACTCACCGGCTAGACTAACTAGCCAACAAGGCTCTGGGATCCTTGTTTCTGCCTTCCAGTACAGGGATGATCGTAGGTACCCCCACACCGGGGTTTTCACATGCGTGTGAGGAACGCCACCTTCAGGTCCCCCTGCTTGCACAGTAAGCACCCCACCCACTGAGTCAGCTCCCTAGCTCTCACCTACAAACAATGGTTTATTTTTATGTGTATGAGTGTTGTCTGCATATATATGCACACCATATGTGTGCCTGCTCCCCACAAAGGACAATCGGGGCATTAGATCCCCTGAAACTGGATTTATGGACAGTTGTGAGCCACCGTATGGGTGCTGGGAACTGAATTCAAGTCTTCTGTAAGAGCTGTCAGTGTTCTTAACCTCTGAGACATCTTCCACTCTCCACCTAACTTTTTTAAAAGACTAAAATTTACTAGAATTTTGATGCTGGCATCTTTAGTGTACTTATATTAGCTTTTATTTTTCTATATTGATGCTAACGTAGCCTTTGGGCTAGAAAAAGGTAAAACAGTTAAAGATTGCTGGGCAGTGGTGGCGCACGCCTTCAATCCCAGAACTCAGGAGACACAGACAGATGAATCTCTGAGTTCAAGGCTAGCCTGGTCTACAGAGTGAGTTCCAGGGCAGCCAGGGCTACACAGAGAAACCCTGTCTCAAAAAACAAAAAACAAAACAAAAAAAATGAAAACAAAACAAAACAAAAAACAGTTAAAGATCATTGGTTTTTGTATGATGCCTACCTCATTTTTTTGTTTTGGTTTTGGTTTTTTTGTTTTGTTTTTTTGTTTTTGTTTTCCAAGACAAGGTTTCTACGTGAAACAGTCCTGGCTGTCCTGGAACTCACAGCCAGACTAGGCTGGCCTCGAACTCAAAGATCCTC